GGCCTGCAGTCTCTGTGGACCATGTCTTTTTGATTGTCTCACCCCACATCCAGATCAGAACCGGACTGGCTCCAGGCTGGGCCAGTTTCATCTTGGGGACTAGGGTTTAGGGGTGGTGGTCTTAATCTCTCTCCATTGTTGAACAGAACGACTCCTTCCTGTGGATAATATGCCGGCATGTTCAGAGCTAATGAGGCAGTTTGCCTGGGCATTTCAAAGTGTCTCTGCGCCTGGGAGTCTCTGCTGCGTCTCTAGCTGGCTGAGGACATCCTAAGGGCGGTGAATGTTGACCAGAAGTTGCAGTGGCCGCCTCCTGACCCTGTCCTGAGCTCCTCATTCTCTTCTGGAAGGTTAGACCCCTGGGCGCAGCCCCTCAAAGCTTGAGTACCACAGTTTTGCACAAATAATGCACATGCTACACTATTTTGCACTCAAGTAATCCCTTTGCGGTTAGTATTTTATGTGTGCTATGCATGTTATCTGTGGGTAAGGGGTGTGTGTGTGTATAATTGCCAAGTCTTAGGATATTGAGAGACTTCTTCCTTGGCCCCTTAACTCAAGCCCCCTTCTTTCTTGAGCCACAGTCCCAGCCTTCATTTTAGCCCCCCACTCTCCTCAGCACAGGCACGGCGCGGCAGCAGGCCGGGGCAGGTCCAGCTGGGGGTGGAGCATCTTGCCTGGCTTCTGACTTCCTCCTCTCCTCCTGTGACTCATCTTCTAGACAGCCAGAGGGCCCTGTCAGGGTGCTGATCCTCACCTCCGCATCACCTCCCACAGCACTGGAGGAAGTCTCTGCCAGCCGGCTGTCTCCTCCTGACCTCCGCTATGTCCGTCAGTTCTGCGGGTCGTGACTATGCTCGGGTCTCTGTCCAGCAGTTACTGGCGTGCCCTGCCTTCTCCAGCCACCTGGTTGCTAATCCCCCTATTGGACATTTAGCATTGAGTTTAAGGGTTACCTCCTTCCCCAGCTAGTCCCCCAGCTGTGCAAACATGTCATCAAGCTTTCCTCACCACTCATGGCACAGAGCTAACCGGTAAGTCTGTGTGCCCATGGAGTAACCTCAGCTGCTGTGAAGCAGCGTTCTTGCTTCCCTTACTCTGTGCCCAGTGTAGAGCCAGCATTCAAGGGGGGCAGGTGCAGTGCATGGGAAGAGGAACCCCTTCTGCTTTCCTGGTTGTGCATTGAGCTTCTGGTAGCAGCCCGACCTTCAGACCCAAAGTTCACTGCTGTCCATTCCATGCCCCTAGTAGCAACCTTGTAGGACAGTGTTAACTGCCCTGTGCCTCCAAGACTGAGCCTCTCTACGGAGGACCCACGGACCCTGCAGTGAGCAGCCGACTGAGTAAGCCCTGTGCCCTGGGCTCCTGATCTGGAGAGAAGGTCCAGGTCACTGTCAGTGGGCAGCCCTGCAGATCCCATAGACGTGAAAAGGCTAAGAAGGGATAATGTGAACAATTTTATGTCAGTAAATTCAATAATTTACACAAAGTTGCTATTCCTTGAGAAGCTGACTCAAGAAGAAATAGAAAAGCCAAATAGCCCTATGTCTTATTAATAACCTTTCCACACACACAAATTTAAGGCTTTACTGAAGTCTTATGAAACATTATAGAAATAATATGATCCTGTACAACTAAAAAGTATTGTCTCTGGTCAAAAAACAAACCCCCAAACCCGCTGCCAGGGAGTCAGTGCTGACTCACAGCAACCCTGGGGGTCCCGAGACCGTCAGTCATTGTTGACAGGGGTAGAGAGCCCCGTCTCTCTCCTGAGAGGTGGCTAGTGGCTTCAAACTGCCGACCATGTGGATCCCAGCCTGGTGCGAAGCCACTGCCCTACCAGGGCTCCTCCTGTCTCTGGGGAAGTGGGTCAGGCTCCACTTAGGGCGGGCTTCCTTGAGACTCCCAGAAGCCCTGCTCTGGGAGGCCCTGTGTCAGCTCTGAAGGAGGGGGGGCAGAGTTTGGGTGGGCAGAAGCAAGCAGGCTTTGCACTCCCGAGAGTGCCCTTCCTGGAGTTGGAGCTTGTCTAGTCCAGGCTGTGGAGAGGCTGTGCCCCACCCTGAGGGGGCCTGGAGAAGGTCAATAAGCGGGGGATATAAACCGGAATGGCCACCTGTTGTAGACTGGGCCCAGAGGAGCCAGAGGGCCCTTTGCCTGGGGGTCTCAGGAGGTATTGCTTGAGCTGGGCCTCCAGGACTGGCCAGAGGGTGTTTTTTTCATGGGTTATCAGAATGGACATTCCGGGAGTTGAGGCAGAGGGTCACTTGTCATGGTGTCCTGGCAGGGCTCATTCGGAATGGGATGTGGGTGGGTGCTGGGACCTTGGGAGAGTCCACTATGCTGGGGGCGGTGAGGAGGCTGGCTGCTGCCACAGTGGTGTGAGGAGCCGGTGAGCACTGAGCTGAGGGACAGCCAGCTGTGTGGTTGTAGCACTCCGGCAGGCCGGTCAGGGACAGAGGGAAGAAGTACCTGGCCAGAGGGGCTGAGCTGTGGTGGATCCTCGGTTAAGGTGGTGGTTGGTGGAGAGAGGGAGGGATGGGGAAGGAGGGAGAAGGGGTAAGACCGAGATTGGCCGTGGTGCCTAGAGTCCCCAGGGACTGGGCTCTGCTTGCGCCTCTGCCGGGGTGTGCACCTGGCTGGCTCTGGGCCCCAGGTCTGAGTGGTGTGGGTGGCACAGGAAAGGCAGCTGTGACCAGAGCTGGCTTTAAACCTGGACGCTCTTGATACGCTCGCTTTTGTCTCCTTGGCAAGAACACAAGCTGGGGTCACGAGGCCTCGGCCTAGCTCCGCTGTCCCCACTGCAGGTGGAGTGGCCTTGGCAAATCTGCCTCCCTCCAGGTTGGCACCGAGGGCCTAGAATGCAGTGAGGCTGCCAGCCCTCCACTTCTGAGGTCCTGTGAGCCTCTCAGGTGGGGTGCGGCCAAGAGGCTGGTCTGTGCCTCTTTCCACTGTTCCTGGCAGTGGGATTCCCTGCCACTCTCCACCTGGTGACCTGGGCCAGGGTCCCATCCCCGCCCCGACCCCCCAGCTGTTTTCCTTCTCAGAGATGTTCATTTCCTGTCCGTGGCACCATGTGTTGTAGGCAGGCTGGGGTATACCTCGAACCCCCATGTGTGGCCCATTCCTGTGTTCACTTGCTCCCCTATCGCTAGAGCCTTCCGTCTCTTTCTTGAGCCCCTGCTCTACCCAGCATGCAGTTTGCGGTCATCCTTCACCACAAAGCTCTGTGCAGAGCTTGTGTGACTCTCCACCCACCAGACCGTCTGCTGGGCACTTTGTAAAGTGTGACTTAGCTGGTGGGGTGTTTTCTCAGTCATTAATGAATAACTCGGTCTTTGCGGAGACACTTAGGTGCCTGGACTCCAGAAGGGTGGAGGTGGTGGTAACCATGGCAGCGGCAGCAGCTGGGTTTGACCTTGCTTAGGGGCCGGAAAAGGTGTGGCATTTGCAAAGGGCTTGCTTCCAGAGGTTGGTCCCCACTCCACCCAGTGCTGTCCCTTCCTCCAAGTGAGCAGAGCCCGTAGGACAGAAGCCTTCCGTGGGAGTGGGGGCCCCAGATGGACTCACTGAGCCCTTGAAGCTCTCCTACCTCCTTCCCTCACCCACGGAGGCCAAGCACCTCTGACCAGCGCCGAGTCTGCTGACTGGCATTTGGGAGGGGAATTTTTATTGGAATGTTAATAGTTGGCTTGCTTCACTGGTTAGCATTTAAGTCAGGGAGGAGCTCAGCCCTGGGACCCATTTGGCGAACCCAAACTTGTTTATCAGAAGCCTTGGTGGCAGAGTGGGTTATGTGTTGGACTGACCTTGAACCCACAAGTCACTGCAGGGGAGAAAGGGGAGACTGCTCCGGTGAGGCACGGCTCTCCTCTGTCCTGGGGATCGCTCTGAGCTGGAGTGGACTTGAGAGCAGTGGGTTTGCATGTAACTTGTTTCTCAGAGCATGAGCATCCTGCCCTCTTTGCCCAGCTCGGCTCCAAGCCCCGCCTTTGCTCCAGAACACTGGCCAGAGCCCTCCGTGGTTCACCTTCACCTGCCTTGATGGCCTCACCCCACGCTCTCCTTCCTCCTGCTGCTCCAAACACCCGGGTGTAGGCTCTGGCAGAGCTAGCTCCCCGCTAGCTCCCCGCTAGCTCCCTGCCCCTGCCTCCCAGTCCTGTAACACCCAGGTGCTGCATGTCCGGGATCAGGAAGCCCCTCTCGTCCCTCCGCCCTCTCCCGCCCCTCCAGAACCATGTTGATCATGCTGGCTCTCCTGCAGGAGATGGTGCCAAGGGACTGAGGACACACCCTGGCAGGAAGGGGCGCATAGGCAGATGCTACTCCGCCCGCGTGCAGCTGTCAGTGCATGCTCAACCTCTCCGAAAGCTGGCCCAGGTTGGTTATGCACGCCAGCTGGCTTGCTGTCGCCTGGGAGCACGGCGCCCTGAGAGAGGGTGGCAGGTCACCACCAGGAAGGAGCAGCAGCTTGGCTGCAGAGGCCAGAGGCTGGTCTGCCGAGCCTCTCATGCCCTTGGTGGTAATTGTGTGGCGGGGGAGAAGCAGAAGGAGGAGGGGAGGGAAAACCAGATTCAGAAGAATGTTTGCCACATCTCTCTCCTACAGAGCTGCCAGTGGATTTGAACTGGTGACCTTTCAATTAGCAGCCAAACTTTTAACCACTGTGCCACCAGGATGCCTCATGTTGACCCTAAGGAGAAGTAAATGGTGTCCCCAGAGAAGCCTCTCCAGTAATGGTGGCTAGTGACCATGACATAGACCAGCTCCCGATAGAGCTCTCTGAGGGCCACCACTGTGTGCCCGAAGCTGGGGTGGGCTCCAAGGCAGGGAGGGGTGGGGAGTTAGGCTCCAGTGGAGCCCCCATCAGGTGGCAGCAGGCCGTGCCCTGCATAGAGCCCCAAGGTGTGCCTTGCCCAGGGCGCCTGGCTCCTGCGGTGTCCTGCCCCTCACTTCCCAGAACCTATTCATCTCAGGAGGCGGTTTCCCTTCTTCCTTTGCAGGACAAGCAAGAAGCAGAACCAAAGACGAAGCAGCTCAGAGAAGAGGAGGAGGAGGAGGAGGAGGAGGGCGAGAAGCACAGGTAGCAGTGCCCACCTGTGTGTGCAGGGGTGTGAGCACTCCACGGTGCCCTGCAGTCAGAATTCCCACCTGCTTCCTCCT